TGAGGAATGCTCAGCCCGGCTCTGAGGCTCTGTCCTAGCCGAGGAGGGGCAGAGCAGCAGATCTGCGGGTGACAGCCACACTTCCTGACAGCCACTGGTGCACCTTTCAGTATCACCTGTGCCTCAGGGCAGTGGAGCGGAGCCTCCTCCTACTCCAGGTCTTTGAAGATGGGCTACCATTTGACAGCTTAGAACCCTCTGGAGTGAACAAGCCTGTCTTTCGTTCATCCATCAAATATTGACCGAGCACCTGCTACACGGCCGGCATGTGCCAGGCACTGTGAGGATATTCGGAGGTGTTTATGCCACAGCCTCGGCCTCCAGATGTTTATAACTTTGTAGAAGCAGTAAAGAAACCACTCCACCGGACTACAAGATACATGCCATGAAATGGTTCTCTGGGCAGGGGATGAAAATCATGAGATTTGGACATGACAGCAATTCAAGTTCAAGTCCTGCTTCTGACTTGCAGAATGACCTTGGGGAAGTCCCTGTACCTCTGGGCCTCTGAAGTGACCTGAAACTATAGACACTCCTCTCTTCTGAAAGATGGTGGTGGTGGTGGGGGGAGGGGATTGTGTGGTTCAAGCAGGATAATGGGCGTGAAAGATGTTTGTAAAACATTGATTCTCAGTGGGGGTAGGAGGTGATTTTTGCACCCAGGGGACATGTGGCAATGTCCACAGACATTTTTGGCTGTCACCTGGTGGGGGATGCTACTGGCATTTGGTAGGTAGAGGCGAGGGATGCTGCTAAATGTCCTACAATGCACAGGAAAGCCCCCTAACAAAGGATTACCCAGCCCCAACCATCAGTGGCGCAGGGGTGGAGAAGTCCTGGTGCGAACTGTGAAGTGCTGTGGGTGGGCGAGTGATTGCCATTCGCGGCCCAGAGCCATGGGAGGAGCACGCAGAGACAGGTTTTTACTATTTGGAAGGGAGGGATCCTTTTAAAAGGGATCCTTTTAAGCCAGGGACCAGGGGGACGATTCCTGGGGGAGATGGGCCACACCTTTACCTGTGGGGCTAGCACTGCACATCTGGGCTGGCTCTGCCCCACCGCTGCCCCAGGGAGTTGTGTGCTGAGTGCCAGGCCGTACTCCACCCACGACCAAGGGAGTTAAAAACCCCCGCTGGGCGAGCAGGCACACGGGAGCTTGGCCCGAAGACACACACCTGTGGGGACTCAGAGCCAGTACGGCGTGTGATGCCACCTTCGCCTCCCCCATGGCACTGAAGGGTGCTTTCAGCACCTCCTGTGGCCAGCAGGGTTGGCCGGTGAGCCAGGCGAGGTTCTCCAGGCTCTGTGGGCTCTTGTGAGCAGGGAGGTGGCAGCCTAGGTCCCTACCTGTGTAAGATCACAGGATCTGGGCAGGACAGTTTGGGATAAACAGGGCTTGGGAGCAGCAGCCTGGAGGCCCGTTCTCTCCATCATTGCTATAAACAGGGACACGACCCCACAGCTCACTGACAGCAGCGCTTGCTTCTAGCAGCTGCCACAGCCCCCATTTCCAGCAGTGTGCCTGGCACCGTGCCAGCATGCTACATTCACAGGCTCGCTCTTTCCTCCCAGCCACCACTGCGTGCCATTTGCACCAATGGGTACCATTTTACAGATGAGGAACCTGAGGCTCAGAGAGGTTAAGTAACCTGTCTGAGGTCACTCAGCTGGGCAGTGGCAAAGCTGGGATGGGTCTCAGGGCTATCTGTCTCAGAGAGCCAGTTGTTAGCTACTCTGCTGGCCTGCCTTTGAGTGTAGCAAGGGCTGCTCCTGTCCCTTGCCTAGTCGGCTTCTGCTAGAGCCCCAGCTCAGCACACCTTTGCCTTTCTCTGGGAAATCCACAATAATGAAACCTTAGCTTGTCTATTCCCTAATTCTTCTCAGTACTTCCACCCGGGGTTCAGAATAATCTGCTGAGGACTGTGGCCCAGCGGGAGGAAAAGGCCCTCCCAAGGCCACCCAGCATGTGACATAGAGCTGGGACTGGAACCCAGGTCTCCTGACTCCCAGCACAGTTTCAGTGCTGGGGGGAACATTCAGACACATTTCTGAGTCCAGGTCCGTGGCAGGGCAGCCCCCTTGAGGGCAGAGTCTAGGCTTCCATGGAGGGACAATTTTCATCCATCCAGCCCTCCTTCAGTGGTGGGAGCTGCCACAAGCTGTCAACTGGCGCCTGGTGCCAGATGAGAGTCTAATCAACAGCTTCCAGCTTCTCTGGAGTTGCCCAGGCCTCAGGCAGCCCTCTCAGCTCCAGGCTCTGTCCTGCTTAACAGCTGCACGCAGTGGGACACCTGGCCTCCCCGCCAGGCCACCCGCCCTTCTAAGACAACAGACAGCACTGGCCTCTTGCAGCCGGCCATCCGAGCCAGCCTGGACTGAAGCCCAACTCCAGGTAGTGGCAGGAGAGTGGCACCCGGGCCTTGCCCCTTGGCAAGTGTGGCCAGCCATCCTCTTGGGGCCAGGCATCCGGCGCGCCTCACACTTGAGAAGACACAGCACCAGCTGCCACACCTGAGTGGACATCTGCCTGCCCAGAGCTTTTCCTTCCAGAGGCAGCTTCTGGGTCAGACTCTGGGCAATTACCTCTCTGCTCCCTAATCTTATATCTGTAAAATGGGATTTAAATGTTGTCAGGATTTAGGCAGTACAGTGGGAGTTGTGATAATAATTGTTATTGTCACGGTTCTACAACCTCCAGGCCAAGTCCTCTCTGTGACTGCTCCGGCTGACGGGGCATGCGCCCTGTCCCGCCTATGTGTGCTCTTGCTCCTTATCCTGTCTTTCTACCGAGACCCCAGGCTCCTCGGAGGCCAGGCTGTGACATCTATTTCCCCCAGAGCTGGCTTGTCCCTGGCCATCTGGAGGTTGGATGGAGGTGGATAAATACGACACCCACCCTTGGCATGTGCCCGGAGTCTCCATCACAGCCTCTCGGGTTTGTGGGGTCCTGGGAAGCCCCTCGCTCCTCTTGCCTTAGGTTGAGCAGAGAGACCCTTGGCTGGAAGCTGGGGGTGGAGCAGGAGTGAGCTGGGTCATCCAGAGACCTGCTTCGTGGCAACCTGAACCATCGCTGTTGCAGAGAACAGGTTTGCCAACCTCTCTTCTCCCTCCAGGCCGCCCCTCCTCACCCACCCCCTGCGGCGCAGGCACGAGAAGGAGCTGCTGGAATTCCCCACGGTTTGCAAGCTGAGGCTGCCTTCCTGGCTGGGACTCTGGGCTTGGACATGGCTAAAAGTGGGTCCCAACTCTGGGATGGTTTTAGGGAAGGGAGTATAGTGTCACTGCCTGGGAGTCAGAACACCTGAGTTCAGTTCTCAGCTCTGAGTTTTGGGCAAATAGTTTCCCCTCCCCGGGCCTCAGTTTCCTCATCCATAAAATGAGCCAGAAGACTAGATGCTCTTGAAAGACTTTTCCACTGCAGATGTCACTGTCTTCCCTAAGGCCTGCGTCAGACACTTTGATCGCCACTTTCGCCCCTGCTTCTTTGCAGCTTTCCAGGTGCTGGGCAGGGAAGACTCAGTTCTTGGTCTTCCTCATGCTCAGCCCTGTTTTGGAGACCCCGGCTCTGAGCCCACGCTTGCAACAGTCAGCTCCAGGGACCCCAGGTTCCCCCAAGTCCAAACCAGCTCCCCTCCTCAGCTCTGCCACTCAGGCCCCACTCAGGGGGGTGGCCTGCAGGGGGCAGTGGGAGGAGGTGGAGGTATCCTGGTTTCTGTACGCTCTACCACCGCTCCTGAAGTGTTAATCAAATTAAGGCTCCAAGAAAAACAAAAGCTCCGCGGCCACTTCAGGCTGCCTTGGAGTCACTCGCTCCTAGAACAGCTGGGAGAATTCCACATCACCTCTGTCCCCCAAGCCCTGGGTGGCTCTGACCCCAACGAACACACACCCCTTCCAGCCTGAAGGGCCCCGGCTGGCCACAATGACCTCATAGCAACAGCCATTGGACACTCTGGGCAATTTCATGGGAGATATTTGTTCTTTGGTCTTGATGCACAGAGAATTTTTTCCTCTCTCCCTGTCTCCATGGAAACCCCAGCTACACTGTTGGCGATCCCCCTTCCCACCCCATGCTTTTCAGATCAATATTGGAGCCTGGCTCCCCACTGGCTGCCCACAGCGGATGGCGGCAGAGCTCTGGGCAGGAGGGATTGGGGCCAGGGTTAAGCCTGGGGCATGGGGAACCATCACCCAGGGGGATGAAGGAAGGGTCCTCTCGCTCCCTGTTCACCCACCCACTGCAGCTCATCCCTTTAGCTCTCCTCCCACCCCCGCTTTAGCCTGCCTCCTCCTAGCGAACCTCTGCCCCTGACCAGGAAGCCCTCTGAGCACAGACCCAGTCAAGGAGAAACAGACAGGTCACCAGCGGTTTCCACCCCGATCTCCTCAGGCGAGACGCAGGCGGGTGGGGGGCTGTTGCCCTCTTTAAGGTCTGGACGGAGTTTCTTCCCGCCCCAGGGAAAACCGAGGCCTGACCAGCGCCAGTGCGGTCTCTCGGAGGCCCGGCGTCCCCGTCCCTTCCCTCCTATCCCCCGTTCCCGCCCCCCATGCAGAAACAGGTCCCTGCACGCCTCCAGCCCAGCCCGCAGCGCGGCGCAGCTCGGGCGCGGGGAGCTCGATCCCGGACTTCTCCGGATTAACCTGCTATTATGTCCCGGAACCCTTCCCTGCAATGGGCTTCCTCGGCGACCTGTCAGTCCCGCTGGGCTGTGCTCGGCGCCCAGGACGCCTCCCGGGCAACCGCCCCGCGCTTGCACCCCTTGCGCCCTCGAGCACCCCGGGCCGCCTGTGGGTGCGGACCGGACCCCAGCAGGAGGGGACCCGGGGTCGTCAGAGGGAGGCTCGGGCAGTGGCGGCCGCAGCAGAGCGAGCGAGCCTCCCGTCCGGCGGCCGAGACACCTGCCGGGCGCCCCCGCGCCCGCTGCCCCGCGCCGCCTGGCACCGGCCGCTGCCCCCGGGGCCTGCCCCGCCCCGCCCCGCCCGGCCCCGGCCCGACTTACAGCCAGTTGCTCGCGGCGGCCGAGAAGACGGCGAAGACGAGGAGGCGCAGCGAACGCAGGCAC